GCTCCCTGGATGGGGACCTCGGGATGTTCATAACCGACGGTTAGAGACACTGAGTGATATGGCTGGATGTCGTAAACTGTGACGTTCATGCATCTTCTCTGTTTCTCTGCTGCATTAGTCTACAGAACTTTTCAATTTTTTCTTCAATCTTACTTTCAGCCTTCCTGTTTTCCTCCTATTGTTCATCCAATTAGGCAGCCAAAAGCATCACAACGAAACGCATGCTTAATGGTCGTTTAAACTGAAACTGAACTGACCAAATGGCAATTTCGTCATTAATGAACTGGAACACATCTTTCAGCTTGTGGGAGTCATTTTTTGGATGGAAATCATGTTTTCTTATAGGGAGGACGGAGAGGATATGAAATCGCATGCAGCTGGTTATTGATTGGTTGGATCAATTTGAGCGGTCAAAACCGAGTTCTGTGATTTTATAGCTGCAGCCTCATATTTACATTTCTTCGATATTTTTGCATTCTTGAAATTAGCTTATGGGAAGAGAATAACGACTGAGACCTTAAGAAAGCCTTTGATCTTTGACCATGAAAAACGAGGGGTTTTTAATTTACCGCACGTTAACAGTATGTTACCATGCTGCTTTCAAATAGCGATAAATGGGCGAGAGAACTTGAGCAGCCGTTTCATGTGGAAGTCCTTTGCTGGAATCTTCTAATTGTAAAGGTATTTCTATTTGCAGGTTTAATGTGGAAACGCGTTCTGACGCGCGTTATTTTGAATATTTTATCGCAAAAAGCGCGAATGATGCGGGTTCAAACTTGAAACTAAGGCTAACTATTTACGCCACATCCATTTTTATCGCACCTAGATAGTTTAAAACTTGCTTATTCACACAAAAAGTCGAAGCACTTAATCGATGTCGCTCCCCTTCGCTAATAGGTATTTAATCAATCTCAGACCTTTTTTAATCCTGTCTTAGTGCTTTCACGTCTAACAATCTAATGCATCCGTTGCGCACGCCATATTCACTTTGCTCCAGTCATTTTCGCTGTTTCATTTCATCTACTAACTTTCAATAAGTAGACCCATGCTGTAGGTGAAATAAGAAAACGCATTTCGCTAGCTCATAGATGCGCCAAACCTACAAGGCAATGCATACCGTACCCAACCTCGATATTTATGGTGCAGACGATTATGAAACCTTAAGTTGTGTGCCCCTTACTGATAGGTTGTCATCCATGCGGCCTTCAAACGATTGCGGGCACATCACGGTTATTGGAATTCCGCGGCGAAGGAGATTGTACTATTCAATTAACACAACATAATAATCAGTAGATTGTGAAAAGCTGATCAGTTTGTGTTGTGCGAAACTGCACAAGCTATTTTATCTCAGAATTGCTTCGTGCATTCCTTTTAATCTTTAGGTGGAGGAGAGGTTGTTCAACAGTAGGCAGGCATTTCGCTTTGCGTGCGTTCTACACCTTTTCCCACCAGGATTTACTCACAACCCTCAATATCTTAGCCATGACCCGTAATGCTTTACCTCAACACACAAACATTAATCATACCACTGTTGGCGAGTCCGATCAAAAGTATCGGCTTGCCGTTCGGTATCTACACTTAAAGTGCACTCCATCCCTGAGATGTGAACACTTTACGAATCCGAGGATGATGAACATCGTTCAAAAATAACTCCCTTTTGTACACCTTTTCCTATCAATCTTTATACGAAACCCGTTTTGAGCCTCGACCGTGATAAATATGTCAAATATCACGGCGTTAACAAACTGATAATGATAATGGGTATGTAATTTTATGAACGGTGTTTATTATCCTCGAACTGGTGATGCACTCACATCTCAAGGACGGAGTTCCCTTTAAGTGTAGACACGGAACGGTAAGTCTTCACATTTTGATTTATTTGAGGACTTGTGAATGCAAAACAACATACCGTTTGTGTTATATTTGAGATTTTTACTCATAGGAGTATCGCATACAATACGGAAACACTGAAGCTGTACGAGGTGTCACATTGTTAAACGCTATGTGCGCATCGTTCAAAACCTTTTCCAATCAACATGTGATGCAGCATGCGACCGCCACACCTCATTCCTTAAACAAGCTTTGGAACATCAACATTTGTACAGAATAAAATGTTTCAACATTCGTTCACCTTAGAATATTCTGATACTGTTTGATCTGACCCACTTATAGTGGTTTGACTAAAGTTCGTGCGTCGAGACTAATAAAGAACTACGGGGCGGGTTTTGGCTGAAGGATCGTTGGCCAGGGCTAGAGAATAGCGGGTTTTGGCTAAAACCTGATAGGAAAATGTGTAGCTGGAATCCGGAGACGATACGGTCCGGGATTCAGAACAGTCATACCTGCAAACTCCTTTGCCATGCCTGTGGGTGTGCAGTCATCTGTGGTGCGTCGTGACACCGACTGTCTGCGAAGGGTTGAGTGTACGCTGCAGCAGTTTGATCAGTTCTAATAACGGCGCAGAAACGTGGCCATTACGAAAACAGAATAATGATAGAATGTCGGTGTTTGAACACCGCTATCTAAGCAGCACCTCACGAATGGGGACCTCAGAATCATGATAATCAATAGTTAGAGGCACTGAGTGATATAACTGAGTATTCCAAATAGTGGCGCTCGTGTATGTTCTCATGTTCTTTTTAACCTCGGTCTATTTGAATTCTCCTTTTTTCCCTTCTACTCTACCTCCAACTTTCCTGTCTTTCTCTCACTGCTTCCTCCAAATAGGCAGTCCAACGACAGCAACCAAGACCGGCGCAAGAATGTGCATGGGTAGTGGTTNCAAAATCTGAAACTGAAAGAATGATGATTGTGTCACGATCAGTTACTGTCGTAATCCACTTTTTCCTTTCGTCACCAAATTTATGATCATTTTTTCATGAACTGCTTTCATTTCGCAAAGGCCAACACGGCATCGCCCGATTGCCTCCTGGAGCCCCTACAGTGATGACTTAAGTTGTCTTAGTGATGTAAAGGTCATCAGCAAAGCAGTAGAATACTAAAGAAATGCGTTGGTTAGATGAACAGCAATAGGGCAGATTACGAAACTTATACCAGTTGGTTCAGTGCAATAATAGTTTACCTTTTTGCACATCATCCGTTTAGAAACTCGTCGATGATAAACCACTTAGCGCGTATGCCGTTCTATATTGGAACATGTGTTGCTCTTGTCATCAAATAGGTTGTCACGGCGAGCAGTTTTCCGAGGCAGTTAGCGGATTGCAAACGCCTAAGTGTGATCAAACGAAGACCTGACATGAAGGTATGAAAATTCTCACTAGGACACTGGGTCACATAGGTCCTGTTAGGCTCCCTGGCCGGGGGACCCCGAGGTCATGGTAACCGCTGGTTATAGACACCGAACGATATATCTGGATGTCGCAAACAGTGGCGCTCACGCATCTACTCAATATTCTTGCCACCGCAATGTATATGGTTTCTGTATCCTCCCTTTGACTCTGCATTCCAAATTCTAATCTTCATTATGCTGTTTTATCGAAGTGGGCGGCCAAAAGACAGCAACCCAACCCGCCGCATGAAAGTGTATAGGTAATGGTTTTGAAAACTGGACTGAATTGTCTCACAAGAGTTTCTCCAGTTGCCTTAGAAATACATACTGACTGAAATGAAGCAGCACATTTGCCCGTTTTTCCGAACGTCAACAACGCCAAGATTTATGTCGAAGGAAAAAGATGTTGTTGATATTATGCTCTTCGCCGTATCATCGTACCAATAAAATGGTCATGTAGCGATAATCAATCGAGGGTGTCAGTGAATTGCTTTCAAGGACATTCAAGTCCTCGTGGATGCTGATTTGCTTGATACTTTTAATTTTGATGACTCGAGTGTCAAAAATGGAAGAATTGAAGCCATTTGGAAAGTAATAAATTGTGATGGAGGTTGACAGAATGGAGTTCACCCTTCAGTCACATTGTCAGGCGACCACTGTTGCTTTGTTTTTCTGCTTCAGCGCTAGTGGTAGCTTGCGGTTCATGAATATCGAACTTGCATCACATTTGAACGAGGGTGAATAGGCGCACGAGAACTTTGAAGATTTTAAATTTGTAGTGTTAGAAGAAGGAGACAGTGGTTTTCCGGTTGAAACAGAGCAAACGAAAATGATTGGTTCACAATAGTAATATTGTTGTTCGATAGTCACTTATTGAATCTTTATTTGCAAGTGCGCTGCAATTTGTCAGCAGTTTCTCATTGCGGGTTTTGCTGTCATGTTTTTGTGAATTAGTAGATCTGACATACTTGGCCTCACAGCTTTGGAGAACTATCAATAGACGAAGTCTTTCATAGAACTAGGTCATTCTATGCAGCAATAACACCGATCCCTTTTCAAGTCCATCTGGAATTCGAACAGTTAAAGCGGTCATGCTCTTCTGTCCCCTGTCAGTCAATCAAATAGTTAATATGGGAACAAGTGATCATCACCCTGTCTTCATAATCCACGAATAACTTGACGTTTTGATCGTAACTCACCGCACTCTCCCAGGCCTCTCAATCCAAAATTCGAAGAAAGGGAAGCACTCTTTTATAATGGATGGTTGCATTTAGCCTAAAGTTCCTTGTATACACGATCGAGTGGGCCATAGTTCACATTGAATTCGTACTGGTTTAATCGACCTTTTTGCAGCTCGAGATGTATGGCTGCTGCGAATTGCAGGGCCTAGCCGCCATTTTTCTTTTGCTGAACTATGAACCTTCGAAACTATAAAACAGTATGTTCATATGGTATATATATATATAGCATAATGAAACGAAATACTAGTTCACTCAGTGTTACTTTTATCGCATTTTGTATTTCACTAGAAAAGAAGGATCAACGTTCCCTGGTCGCTTGATTTCTGCGCTGTCAAATCTTATGTTCTATGTGTGATATTTTTACATGCCGATATCGTTCCTTCTGTGCGACACAGAAACCTCGTCCTAATGCCCATCTTAAATCTAAATCAACAACTTACAAAAAATTCTATTTCTCTCCTGTTCTCTAGTTGCTTATGTACCAACAACTGGCCTCAGCTACGTCATCCATCTCACTGGGTACGTATGTTTATATGATCGTGATCGGATATGGTTCCTGTACATTGTTTGAATGGTACTGATGTGTACATTCGGTATGCCCCCTGGAATTAATCGTTCTTTTTTGAATTTTTTTGAGCGCGCGATTGCATGCCTCTCATACGGTTTCCCATTGCGAAATGCAGCAACAGTGGCAACAACAGTATGAGTTCGGTACTCCTTTACACCCACTATCGGATGACCAGAAGCCTCCATAACTGTGATCAGTCAATTGTCCTGAGGACAATACTATACCGCGTTTTGTGAACCCCAAGGCACTCTGTCTTTTGTTATAAGTACTCTATCAATTTCATACGTGATTTACTTTCATAATTTGGCACAGAGGCGTACGCACCATTGGTCTGGTTGTCGTCCATTTGGCCACTATCTTGTACCTTAGAGAGGATCGACGTCATTCAAACAACTACTCAGACTTTACATTTGTATGTCTAGGATAAAAAGGAATTAAAATATTCATTTATTTTATTACTTATTATTGTTCATTGTAACTCGTTTGCCTGAGGATGAGCCGAAATCTCAGACTATCCAAGTGTAGCTGTTCAATTTCAGTTTACACAACCACTACCCATGCACATTCTTGCGCCGGTCTTGGTTGCTGTCGTTGGACTGCCTATTTGGAGGAAGCAGTGAGAGAAAGACAGGAAAGTTGGAGGTAGAGTAGAAGGGAAAAAAGGAGAATTCAAATAGACCGAGGTTAAAAAGAACATGAGAACATACACGAGCGCCACTATTTGGAATACTCAGTTATATCACTCAGTGCCTCTAACTATTGATTATCATGATTCTGAGGTCCCCATTCGTGAGGTGCTGCTTAGATAGCGGTGTTCAAACACCGACATTCTATCATTATTCTGTTTTCGTAATGGCCACGTTTCTGCGCCGTTATTAGAACTGATCAAACTGCTGCAGCGTACACTCAACCCTTCGCAGACAGTCGGTGTCACGACGCGCCACAGATGACTGTAGCTTGGTGCTGCCAATCCAGTCTTCTTTGTACTAGCCGACATTTCATCCCTGATGAGTCCACCGATTGAAATATAGCTGCCCAAATAATAAAACTTGTTCACTTGCTTTGTTGCTTTCCCAGTTTGAATATGGCTGGTAACTGAACTAACCCAGGTCTTTTAGCAACATTTTGCACTTTGAAGGTGCAAAGCGTATACTAAACATGACTGCCGTAGCACTCAAATTATCTGGAAAAGCTTGCATCATATCTGGATCTTCACTTAGCAATACAGTGTTATCTGCATACTCCAAATCAGACAGCCTGTCTTCCGGGAGCAACTCGATGCCACTGTCTTCGCACGAGGACAAACTTGTTTCCATGATCAAGTCTATATCAGTTAAATAGAAGAGAAGAGAGAGGCAACCCTGACGAACACCGCTTGCTGTGGTGATCTGGGGCGAAAAATCACCGTAAACTTGCACTTGGCTCCGGCTATTAGTATAAAGAGATCAAAGTATCGAAATAACTTCTCGGACACAGCTTGCAGTTAAAGGCAGCGCCAGAGTGAGTTTAGAGCGGTCCACTAATTTGAAGTTTGCTTTCAGATTGACGATGACAGGTTGTGTCAACTAAAAGATTGTCGGTGCTCCAGGATTTGGTAGGGTGAAAATAGAGTCTATCCAACCTCGACCAGGTCTTACCCCAGTGTGATACCCACGTGCGTACTTTTCAGGTGCGGTAGACTATCGACGGAATATGATTCCAACATGAAATTTTATAGGTAATGTTGATTAAAATAGTTCTCCGGTTTTCACGGAAGGATCTATCAACTTTCTTTTAACTCAGTAAGACCATGTAACTGAAACCTGTTTATCTTCGCGTGCCATACGCAGGTTTTTCGTCAACTCGAAGACCAACGCTAAACCTTTATCCTTGAAAGTCGATGGGAACAACCCATCTGGGCCGTAGGTATTATACTTTTGAAATAATTTATTTCCCAGGAAACCTCCATTTCAAACGGAGATCTGGCATCAACTGGGAGTATTTGCCCATTCGAGGTGAGGGGTGATAGGTCGGATATCGATGGGGGCATGTTCATCAAACCGTCGTTGCTGATGATGAATCATTGTGCCATCGGATTCTCTAATTACCGTATTTACACTTATTCTTCGGGGGCCCGTATTCCTAAATAGACCGAAAAGAGTGCGGTTATTACAAATAGCCGCAACGTTCTCCAGCTCTCTACATTTCCTACCCACCACTTCTCGCTGTCATTCCTTAGACTCTTGATGACTTGGCGTTAAAGGGATTCGAGCGCTGTATCATATGTGTCATCAGGAGGAAGGGTTCTGTGGGTGTCCCGCAAGGCAGCCGAGGTCAACGAGATCCATCGTTTGTGCTCTGTTTCTGTGCCAGAGACCGTCGTTGTTTTCGTTGGCATTTGGATAACGTCTTTAATTTACTTCTAGTGTCCATTGAGTTCTTCAGCTGAATCGGAGAGCTCTGCTTCGAAGGCTGTAGCTGTTCATGAAAGGTGGTGTCAGTATACATCTATGATTCCAATACAGGATGCCATAGATGCCAAGATTCTGGGTTGTTGATTTGTGGTAATCCTGGTTTCCGATAAACCGCTTTTACTGAAGCCACTCATTAGAACATGATGCAATGGAATGACATTTTTTGTGTAGTAAATATTTAGCGCCGGAACGCTCGGTTCCGTGGTTCACTTAACCGATGGTTTGTCTAATTCTCCCCCACCACACCCCGAAATTCGTTGTTCTTTCTAGAGGGTATCGTAAGTTTTCTCTTTCTCGCGTATGCCTGAGTGAGTTGTGGCAGCTTTTCAATCTAATGAGGATGGCCGTAATTCATGCTGTTCATTTTCGCGAACTTTCAATCACTCTGCTTTCCGTTGCAACCCATGATAGCTTTACTGTTCTTTTGTGGAGCCCTTGTCAACGGTCCTTACGCACTGATCACCACAGCGGTAGCCGCAGATCTGGGCACACAGCCATCATTGTCTACACGAACCCGGGCCCTAGCAACGATTACCGCCATCATTGACGGGACGGGTTCATTCGGTAAGTTCGGCTTCTCTGTTTTTCCTCTCACTCCTGACAGTACTTTAGTGGATTGACTCCTAACGCGTTTTGTACTACTTGAGAATAGTTGATCGCTTTAGAGTGCAAACTGCCCAATCAAACGGAATATTTAAATCCGTTTGGTATACAGTCATTTGCCTAGTGTAAATAAAGATTGTGCTGTTCTAGTGGAACGAAACAGCAGTTTAGCCTACTGATTAACGTACATTGTTCACGCCACTTATGAAGTTGTATGCTCTGATGAGATGCTGATTCGAAAAGCTTTTGTCGTGTGAAATATTCATTCATTTATCTATACATTTGAGGTTAAAAGCTGAACTAGACTGAATGTTTTCACGAAGGGATCGGCGATTATTTATGCTTGCTTTAGAGCAAAGACAGGTAGAGAAAACAACTTTAATTCCGTAGTAGTCAGTCCCAACATCGTATTATTTGCATGTGCGTTTTCATAAACTTATGATAAACGATAAGAAGAGTCTAACTGACATCATGGTGATTGAATTGGTCCTCTTCTGAATTTCAAGACCTTCATGGTTAATTATTTTTCCTACCTTCGTGTCAGGTCTTAGGTTGAATACCCGAAAATTTTCCTCGCGTACTACCTGTATCGGTAAATGTCACAGTCCGAGGATGCCTATCGAGTGACATACGCAAAAGCCAAGGTCAAGCGCTTGGTCCAGTGAGCGACCACCATTCACTAAACACTACTTCTGACTATGGCATTACTCGTCCAGCTACCTGATCAGACTCACGTAATGCGGCGTAGATAGCGGTGTAGCGTAGCCTATCTTTATCGTGTTTTCGTAACGGTCTAGTCTCCGCACTATAGATATATATTTTTATATTTCAAATCGGCTTGAGGACAAGCATTGTGGTAACTCAACAACTATGAGAAAATGTAGTAAGTGGTACAGATTGATGAGAGAAAAGTGGGGAAAACATACGATAGGTAAAACGGATGAATAAATGAATGATCAATGTTTTTTTATTAGTTTTACTGTAAAATTTTAAATTGTTTTATTCATGTGGAACATGGTTTTGATAAACAAACCGCACAACAATCGCGTCACTGACTTCTTTTGTGAATCATATCTCTCAGCGTCTCTAACCATAGGCAATCCTCATCCCTTGGTTCCTAGCCTGAAAGGCGAGCTGCACCAACTAATGCCAATGCTGAGGTTAACTTCTACACCAGATCATGATCCGACCACCGCGTTGCTCCAGCGTTGCCCAGCACCTGTAAAGAAAACACAGAATCAGATGATAGGCAAGCATATATAAAACGTTACCAAGCCATCAGAGGCAGTTTGGAGCCGTTGCTTCTTTTAGAGAGCGACTATCGGTACCCAGCACACGTCGACGAATTTCTTCCTTTCTCATGGTGTTTCCACTAGACACGAGCAATGTTTCGGAGACATCGGCGGTCAATACTGAAAGTCGACTAGCATCCTCCAATGGGATGGACCAGATATTGCAACCGTAAAGCAGAACACACCGAACCGAGGCGATATACACCGGCGGCGTTGCATGTCTCGCAGGTTGGCAAAAGCTGCTCTGGTTTTCGCTATTCGTGATGTGATCTATCCCCTTTTACCACATCCAGGTGTGATTAAGCTCCCGAGTTAACTAAAGCTCTCGACTACTTCTATAGGATCACCAGAAATGGTGGTGACAGACGTCTAACGCTGGACTATTTGTTCTACTGCGCGACGGTGATCTTCGGCAACGTAAAGTTGAGCAGCTCGTGCTGCGACCCCTCATGACTATGTCCCGAATTTCCGTCATCTGTCTTTGCAGGTCATCGAGAGTGACTGGCTGTCTACTCCGGCGTTCTTTCGTTGACAGTTGTGCGATCGTAGCGCGCAACGTTTCGGTTTCCTTACCCCTATCGCTAGGGGCAGGGGAGGGTAGAAACACTGGTGTAACGGCGTGCAGCTGTTGTCTCTCCAGTACAGCATCAGCCGCAGCCGCTAACTGGTCTAAGTCTAGATTAGGTATAGCAACGACGATGTCCTGTATGGCGTTTGGTATCCGTTATAACTACAAGTCTCGCAGAAGTGATTCGTGCATGAGAGATGACTCGGCTATTTGACGCATTTCACGTAGAAGCATTGAAGGCTTCTCGTTGCGGAGCGTCAGCGTATGACAAAGCTGGGTTAGCCTTGTTCTTTCGGAAGGACCAACCCCCGTTAGGATCCGCTCCTTCAAGAGCCTATACCTATTTTCGCTAGGGTCCATTAGGCGAATGTCCTCCGAGGCCCCAACTTGCTCGGGGCTCAGCCTGGTAATGAGTTGTCTGTTTATTTGGTCATCGGAGACCATCCCTTTGTTGCGCAGCGCTTACTCGAAAGCGGTAAACCATACCGACGGCTTAGTGACTATTAGGTCTGGAATAGACAAAAACATTGCCCCTACGACAGGTTTATATTCTTCAAACATTATGAATATGTGAAACGTTTCGTATAAAAAAAAACCGAGAACAAATTGCAATTGCTAGTGTGCTAGAAATGAACGATCACAAAAACGATAAACCGTAAAAAGGTATAAATTGCCGAGGAAAAAATATTGTGGTCCGTACAAATGCGTACGGGCTTTAGATAGCTTGCACTATCTACGATAACTAAGCTCGAATCACCTCAACGTTCTTGACTACAGTGAAGAGCAATACGGCTATTGCTCTGAACAGGTAAGAAGACGGATAACACGTGACTAACGGTTTACAGAGCGAGACCTGCAGCGAAAGGTTTACACATGCAACGAGGTAGCGTGACTCACCGGGACAAGTGATAATTCTGCTGTTGAGTGTAAACAGTTAAAGTGCACCTGGTAAAACAAAAGCTTGTTTCGAGTAGAAAAGGAGTCGTAGGCAAAAGGTGAAAGTGGCGTGTTACTATAGAACAAGTACCTCAAACGGGTGTGAGGAATGCATGACTGTTCAAGAAGTGATCCAAAGACTTCTCCAAGCACTGCTAAGAGCTGCAGTGATAACCCGACTGTATTGATCAACACGGCTGTGAAGCCCCAGTTTCCAGAGGAACGCTCGAGGGACTTGTAGTTTGTATAAATCCTGTCCACCGTTCAAGATACGATGGACAGATATGAAAAAGAGTTAGTCGCAGTGAAACACGTTACGCAGTCCGCGCAGAAAGCACTAGGCAGAGTGGAAACAGCACATTTCCCCAGCCCTGGTTAGAATGAGAAATGTAATGATTAAATGATTACCTGAACCATACTGCATCGCAGCGAGGCAAAGGGTAAGCGGCCTGCAACATCACTTTATGAATTTACCAAGGATGCCGGGAGTATCGGGACATACGAACATGAAGCGAACCTTCAAACTGGGAAAATGGCAAGTTCAGCAAAAAGCGGGAGGTCGCGCTAAGGCTGGTATTAGTTGATTTCGGCAACCCAAGACACGGAGACAGCCTCTCGTCCACGGAAGACAAACTGTTGGCCCATTCTAAGGACAAAATGACCACTTGGCAGGACAAAGCCACAGTGGGTCCAAACAAAAACGATGGAATAAGGAAACCCAATTCCAGTAAATCAGGTCAGATGGGCGTTGGGATCCANTACCTAACCGCTCCCAAGAGTTGGCAAAAGGGAGAGCAAACTACGCCAACATAGTCTCTAGATTAGATAAGATGAGGGAAGAAGCACTGGTAGGTACATCATCACCAGTGAACAAACAATCAAAATGAAAAAAACACGGAGTAGGATCTCGGAGGTAAACTCCAAAACTCCCCGAAGTCAGCCCCTGAATCAGGCAACCTCACGGTCCTATGTTGCAATGTTTGCAGAGTGGGAAATAAATTAGCGGAACTGTGTTCAGAAGCACAGGACCATGACTGCATTGCTATTACGGAAACCTGATTGAGACCTGGGGAAGCCATAGAGCAACTAGCTCGCAGAGGACACAATAGCTATCGGTATGACATAGAGGATGGAAGCATTGGGATTGAGGCACCGATTTTAGTGACCTCGCACAGCACGAATAAAAGCTGACACACTGGTAACGCTCAACATTCAGGCGGTCGTCTGTTTCGTAGAGAAGGCGTCCAACAAAGTGAAGATAGTCTGTCTATAAAAGCTCTGTCTCAGGTAGGCATGAAAATGAGCAGCTCCTCCAATGCCTAGCTGTCACGTCCACCCTTAATGCTCAACTGCTGCTGACGAAACTGCATCTTGACGTGGTGTAATCGCTTGTGCCCCTCTCTGACCCAATGAGCTATACAGGATGGCCTTTTCCAAGCCGAAGATCTAATCACACCTGGAAGGTCGAAGGNGTCAGACGAAGTCCAGTCTCCTGGTCCTCCAGGTTGGGGGTGTTAAGACGGAGCTTAAGCAACCCGTCCGTCATGCACGCCTCTGAGTCAGGCCACACGCACGCTCCCAACGCTCCAGACAGGCTGAACCTGATTGGACGGTCAAAGAACGTGTCAGCCAATGTTGTGTCCAATCGATCAATCGACATGTCAAGGACACAATCTGATTGGTTTGTCACTGCGCCGTTCTCGAATGCACGATTAGTTTATGTGTTGCGTATCGATAACTGATCGGAGGAATACACGCTGACTGTGTCTGAACCTGTGTTCTCTCTCCGCGTTGTCGTTGGGGGTTAAGCAAGAGTCGCTCGTGTCATTTGTACTCCTAGACCAAACACAACAGGGCATTCGATTAGAATTTGCGTTTCAGTCTTTAAAAAGTGTGGAGGAGTAATCGATCCTAGTAAATGGGCCTCCACTTCGCCTCGCTCGGTGCCTTGCGGTTAGGTTCTTTCAGAACTAAAGGCTTTGGTTGAGAACCCTAATCGTTCTTCTGCTTAGTGGCTGGACACCCTAGCAGTACCCGTGCATCAAACCCCAGTGCATATGCATTGCGAGTTTGGCAGCGATCAGTGAAGTTCACTTCTCTGTATTTCGCTGTACGATGATGATGACAGACGTACACTCACAAGGATTTTAAGAGACGACCAAGAAGCCTGGTGGACGCTACGCGCAAAGGAGATGGAATTAGCAGCTAGGTATGGAATCACCCGGCAACTATTCCAACTCATCCGTGGCACGGACCCCAAAATACAGCGCGTTAGTGAAACACTGCGAAATAGACGTCACGCTTATTACAGTCTTCACTGAGGCTTGGAACACTGGGCAGAGCACTTCACACTGCATATTGACTAGCCCCCGCGCTCTCTACCTCAGGTAGTTCTCTTGAGAGTGTACCTGGTCACTATCCAGGAGACCGCCCACAAAAGTGGAGATCCGGAAGGAACTCCAAGCCGTGAAACACCACACCGCAACCGGATCAAATGACCTTCCACTTGCCTTCTTTAAAAATAGTGGAGAATCTGTTGTGAGAGTTTTTGAAATTTCTCGAAGATCTGGGAAACCGAAAGTGTATCCCACGCACGGGGAGAATCGATTATTACCCCCATTTACAAAAAGGGCTACTGCAATGTCTGTTCCAATCGGAGGGGAATAAGTCTGATTCCAATAGCTCCGAAGCTGCTAGCGCCCGTTTTATTATGCAGACTAAACCCATTTCGTGAAATGGAGATTCGCGAAGAGATGACCGGGCTTCGGGCACGCCGTGGTTGCATAGATTGAATCTGCACCCACCGCCAGCCACTAGAACACCGCCACACATACAGACTACAAGCTATCATCGTGTTTTCTGACATCAGAGCTGCCCTCGACTCCATCGATCGTCCTAAACTGTTTGCTGAGATACAAGTGAAGATAGGAGCTGAACTAATGAGGACAGTAATATTTCCAGAATCAAATCCATTACAAAGATGAATAGAAGAGGGCAACTCTAAAGTATATCGCTTTCCGTGGTGAACTCGGGCGAAAAAGTGTTATAAGCTCGCACTGGAAATTATCTATAAGTATAAAGGCACGTCCTTCAAAGAGAGGCAGCGAGGTCGAAGGAGTCGAAATCTGCTTTTAAATCAAAGGAAACAGATGTAGTGAATCTACGGAAGTTATTCCAGAATTTAGCGAACTCTGAAAATATGGTTGGTGCAACCGGGCCAGTTTTCTGCGTGCGACAGACAATCGAAAGAGTATAGTGTGAGTGTAAACCCAATCGAATTAATTTCTATATGGTTTCCACAAGGGTAAGTGTTACCTTGTAAGTCAGTCAGATGACTGATTCAGTTGTTTGTCGTCATTTCTTTACCCGTGTTCATTATAATCAGAAACAAATTCACGACAATGCCGGATCCTTAGCCTTTAACTTTATTGAGAAACAAATAATGTATAGCTTACGTGTGTCGTTTTAGTAAAATTATGTCATGGTCAGCTACCTCTGTTTTTCTCCGTCGTAAACAAGCATATCTTGTCTGAAAAATTTTCCACTCCCTCCAGGTGCTGCATTGGGTCCATTCCTTACTGGTCTACTCGTACCATTTGGTTGGTCCTCCGTATTCATCATGTTGATTGTTGCTGACTTGTTCGCCTTGTGCGTTGCGTTGTGGGTCACATGCCACACTCGCCGTGGCTACATCCCTTCGGTCCCGGTGGAGAAAGATCTTCTTGGAATATAATGTGATTAGTGTGCCTTTATAATCCTCACGCTCTGGATTTGGAGCTAACAGCACAAGTGAACTCCACCTCGCTCCTCGATTTCACATATCATTTTGACCACAATTCCGATCGATCATCAGATTTGTTGATCATTCCTCCGAATGGTCTTACATCTGACCGATCCAATTTGTTTCTGCTGTTCTGTGATACTACTACGGTGGACAGTTTACGCCTCGTTTGCAACTGCAGCCCCACTAAATCTTATGCCACTCACTCTCACCACACACACAAGCACACAGTTTTCCCGTCTTCATCGTTTTTGCCTTTAACTGGACAGTAATAAAAAAAGAAATAGTTCCTCTTGTTTTGTTTTCAGTTTACCTGTTTGCTTAATATGTATGTCCATATCCGGACTATTTTTTGCGTGTCACACATGTTTGTTTATTACTTCACATTTACCTCCGCCATTCCATCGCCGGACCAGGTAGTCTCGATTTTCGCTACCAGGCCGTTGAGAGCCGTTTCCGGAAGTGCCCATTTCCCCCCGGTCACTCAAACCTCCGTTGATCTTTTTCAATTTTCTATCTCGATGCTGGATCTCAGTTCCTCCGTGAACTTTTTGATATTTACTGAAACGGAACTTGGCCAAGTGTTTGCCTTCCCCCTCCCGTTGTGCATTACCAACCATAAGTTCGCACAAATGTATACAAACATCGTCCGCTCTGAGTCATCGTGTAATCCGATGCCTAATGCCCCCTGATCTCCATTTCAAGTAATTCAATTGATGTTTCTTACTGCGTTGCTGTTGTCACTGTGATTTCCGTTTTCGGTCTTCCTGTGCAGCCAGCAACTGAATACGTTCACGTATGTACACAACTAAATCGGAACGGAATTGAGTAGTAATGTGCTTCGAAATCGAGATATCCGTTGACCAGTTCGTTTGCTTAAACTTCAAAAGTAGGCCGTTAGTTTTTTTTATTCCATGCACACTAAATGGAAAGAAAATCCCCTTGTCCATTATTTTCATCTAGTACGATGAATATATATATGGACAAACCGTGTGATTGCCCCCAAGCGGAAAGGAATCTTTCTCTCTTCTGATATAGGTTCACAAGAGTTCGGTGCCACGTCATGAATTGTTAGCCATTTTTAAATTCGTAGTCATAGGTCCAACTTTCCAATCTTGTCGCATACCCTCGACCGCGCGCACGTGCTCTCCCTCTCAGACACATACACACCCAATCCCTAGCCTTGGCCAAGTTCAATGCCCTGCGATACCCATTCCTTCTGCTTGTGGCTAAATGATCCTCGTTCATTCCATCCCGGCATTATGCATATATATATATATACCGTATTTTTCGGACTATAAGGCGCACAGAAAATCCCTATATTTGTAAAAAAATCGGCAATGCGCCTTATATTCCGGTGCGCCTTATGTATGAACAGTGTATGTTCACACTGCGCTGAAAAATCTGTCAAAATATTTTATTACGACTTTGGTAAGCGACGAAGCCACTTCCCTTGATTGTCGAAGCATAATCGCTGCTGGTCTTAAACCTCGTATAGTCAGCTTTCTATGCTGTCTAGACAGACTTGTTTTGAGGAATTTGATGGATTCGTAGAAGAGGAATGATTTAAAAGTGTGTGTACTTTTTTGTGTAATATTGACAGTTATTGTTAATGATTTGAATAAAGTCTGACCTATCCGACTATTTTGTTTCGCTTTATGCGTCTTATAATCCGGTGCGTCTTATATATGAAAATGGATCCGTTCATTGATACTGCGTCTTATAATCCGGTGCGCCNATAAGGCGCACAGAAAATCCCTATATTTGTAAAAAAATCGGCAATGCGCCTTATATTCCGGTGCGCCTTATGTATGAACAGTGTATGTTCACACTGCGCTGAAAAATCTGTCAAAATATTTTATTACGACTTTGGTAAGCGACGAAGCCACTTCCCTTGATTGTCGAAGCATAATCGCTGCTGGTCTTAAACCTCGTATAGTCAGCTTTCTATGCTGTCTAGACAGACTTGTTTTGAGGAATTTGATGGATTCGTAGAAGAGGAATGATTTAAAAGTGTGTGTACTTTTTTGTGTAATATTGACAGTTATTGTTAATGATTTGAATAAAGTCTGACCTATCCGACTATTTTGTTTCGCTTTATGCGTCTTATAATCCGGTGCGTCTTATATATGAAAATGGATCCGTTCATTGATACTGCGTCTTATAATCCGGTGCGCCTTATGGTCCGAAAAATACGGTATATATATATATATATATATATATCACTGGCTTGCGAACAAGCATGCTGCCAATACAATAACAAATATACCGGATAACAAAGGGAGGTTGGGATACAAAACAGTGGCATGGAGGAAATAGCTTTGGTGGTTACTAATTAGAAGTACGAATCTTCATTCTGCTAGTATCTTTGATTGTTTATAGCTACGGAGTAAGTTTGCGGATAATCCAGAGGAATGGTGGAATACTCGACCGGTATGTGGACTGTCACTCGTCCTCACACGCATAAACCTAGTATTCCTCTTAATTTATTTCACCGTCAGATTGAATGGCTTTGGACGCATCATGTTGCACTGTTCAATGAACAACCTAACGGGTACTTCATTCATCGCTACCCAGGTCCGTTTGATTAGTTGCAGTGGTTTTTTCTTGCTTGCTGTACGGCGACCGTGAAGTGTCGTGCTTTTTGATCCCTGGTTAAACAGGTAGACGGAACAAACATAAACCAATCACTCAATGTTAGTCCAAGTCAACTCGGTGTCACTGCACCTGAACATGATCGAGTATATTTCACAGTGATCATTACTGTGAATCAGTTGAGTTGCCAAACAAAAATGAATAAGTCCCCGTATGCGAACAAATTCGGATTAGGTTTTAATTAGCTTCATTAAAATCTACTTTTGCTTTTCTGGCACCGATGAAGTGCGCACATGTGTTTCATTATTATACCCAGTTCAGTTTGTATCGCAATCTCGTCTTAGATGATATACCAGACGACAAACAAACAACAAAGATCCACCTCGTGCTCTCTCTTTTCTCGTGGAAATTCACAACAAAAGCTGTATCAGAAATTTCCATTTTTGGTTTGGATTTTGAATGTAGTTTCTGTTATCCGCTCGGGACACCGATCGTCGTATGCATTCGCCCATTTGCGACGCCGGTAGTTATGGGGGCTCTCTGACTTGCTCACATATCCAAATGCGGTCTACGTTCTTTCATGGAAATTTACAAACGTGCATCATGAAAGGAATGAACCCACTCAGATTACACGGCAGAGCGCGTCGAATCGATCAGTTTTGAACTATCTTCTGGTCAAACGATGTGCATCATGTGTTTCCTAAATTTCCGATAACTTCTTCACAACTGACAATAAACAAGGGTGTGCAAAATAAATAGATTTTCTTTTTTACTAGGCCCAGTTTACACGATGCGGTTTACATGCTGGTATATCACGAATTCTGGTGCACCAAATAGTCAGATTTTCAACTAGCCCAAGTCGAATCCGCCTTTTAACCACTACGGACAACCAGGCAGTTAAACATTAGCACGGATCTGTGAGTAGTTCAAACCACCAGCCTTTGGTGCACAAGCGCATACGTGTGAGTATATCTGTGCGTTAACTGCAACAAAGATAACAATGAGATGTTTTGAGCACAGCCTTGTGAACTTGATTGACTCAGTCAATCAATGCTGGATGGGGGGATGACTGTTACAGAAGGACACACTGGTTTCTTTAGAGAGTCGGATTCAGGATGCACAGCATTCCATTTTGCAATCGAGTGTCGCGGGGGTGCACGAACGAAATGACATTTTAGATCATGTTATTCTATGTCGTTGCCCCTTCTCGAATAGGGTTACCCATCCCCAGACATACGTTAGATAGAGTAAACTGAACTGTTAAATGGGTTAGTCTAGTTGATTGAACTAAGCAGAAGGCCTTTGTAGAAAGGGAATAGGCATGACATGATTGCGACATTGTGCTTCGCAGGTAGCAACGAGTACAATGGACAGGTCCTTACGATCAGTGCTATTTGGATCAAGGTCTCAGCAATGATAATGTTCGAAAATTTGCATTTGAAACAAAACAAGTGGGCAAACTCGAGACGCACCAACTTTTGCAGGATCTGCGCTGTAACAGCCTCACCAAGGATTCGTGTTCACAGCACTCCCGATCTTGCTAAGCGATTTATCGATTCATCGCCACTCGCAGTTATTAGTCTACCGACCGAGGTCAGTTGCTTTGGTGTTCGTCCATTCTCCTATAAAGCGAAATCGATCAAACAAAAAACAAAAGTCTATCTCCTTCCGGTTGTCCCATTGTTAGGATGGAGGTCGAGCACGCCTTCGCGTCAGACCACACACGTTAACCACGCTCCAGTCAGATTGGGTCCGAATTAGATGATTGCGGAACGAGTCAGTCAGCGGTTATCCGACCGACCAAACGAAGTGTCCAGGACGCAATCTGATTGATGCGTCACTGTGTCGTTCTCGTATGCCTCGTTTATCCTATATATTTGCGTATTGAACCTCCATCATTGAGTACACTCTGACTGTTGTCTCGAGTCCCGTTCTTTCTCCGCGTTGTTGTCATACCCTCGTGTCAATCGTGCGTCTATACCTTTTGCAAGTCAAGTTGTCCCGGTATCATATCAAGATGTCCGGGAATCATTTCAAGTTGTCCCGGTATCATTTCAAGCTGTCGCGTTGGCCTCACCGGTGCTGAAATGATTCCCGGACATCTTGAAATAATCCGGGACATATTGAAATGATACTGGGACAACTTGAAATAATCGCCTGACATTTTGAAATAATGATCAGTCAACTTGAAATGATTCCCGGACATCTTGATATGATTCTGGGACAACTTAACGTGTAAAAGGTATAGACCAAGCACAAAACTTGCCAGTCGCAATCAAATCATGTCATGCCTATTCCATTTTCTACAAGGGCCTTCTGCTTGATTTTATCAATCAGACTAACCCATTTGTTAGTTT